GCACTTGAAAAGAGCATGTATGCATGATCAGTGTGTAAGTGATGTTCAGTGTAAGTCAAAAAGGACAAGTTGGTACATCTCTATAGGAACTTTAGAACATGGCTGATGTACTATGCCCGCTGAGTTTTATCAGCCCCTGTGGGGTGTGTTTTGTATCCTCTCGCTATGATGGTGGATTTGATTATCTCCCCTTTTTATTCTTTCTGTTTGTGCTTTGGGTATTCTGAGACAGGTGCCTACATATTTAGAGTTGTTACATATTCCTAGTAGATAAACATTTCCATCAGTAAACTGGCCACCTTTATTTCAAGTGCTGTCTCTTGTCTTAGGGCTTATGGAATCTTAGTACTGTTATACTGACATTTTTTTGGTTAGCGTTGACATAGTATACTTTAATCCATTCTCATTTTTCCAAAATCTCTGTGTTCATGTTTAGAAGTGTTTCCTTTTTGTTTTGCCTTCTTGTACTTTTCCAGCAGTCAACAAACTTTTAATTAAGGTTTCCAGTGCATATACATCATCCTAGTCGCATTGATTCCTGTTCCAATTTAGTGTTATTTTCATGTATACTAATTCTATATGTATTTAACAATATTCAATACAATATTATTTCTTACAGTCAATATATCACCTACATTTATTTACATATTGTTCCTTTTGAGTGTTCTTCCTTTCTTCCTGCCATACTATTTTTCCATCTGGACTTGTTTTTCCTTGTTCCCAGAGAATTCCCTCCAGTGTTTATTTTAGACCAATTTTACTGGCAACAACTACACTCCATTTTGCTTGTTTAAAATAACTTGATTTTGTATACATTTTTGAGAGGGGTTTTTGCTGGCTGAGGGATTCTAGGTCCATAATTAATTTCCTCCAGCAGTTAGCACGTGCATGGCATCTTCTGACATTTCGTTGTTTCCTGAGCTCAGCTGAAAGCCCAATAATGGTTTGTTTGAAAATAAGAGATATTTTTACCTCTGGCTGATTTTAAGATTTTTTCTCCTTAAATTTGACTTTGAACTCTTTTATTCTCAGTTATGGGTTTCTTTTATTATACCCTGCTTGGGTTTATGACATTGCTTAAATCAATGGCTTGATGTCTTTGGTCAGTTCTAGAGAACTCAAGCTTTATATTTTTTTCTTTTTTTAATGTAATTTGGCTGTATATGTATTCAGTATAATACAAGTTGGCTAACATACAGTGTATACAGTGTGCTCTTGGTTTTGGGGGTAGTTTCCCGTGATTCATCTCTTACATACAACACCCAGTGCTCATCCCAACAACTACCCTCCTCAATGTCCATCACCCATTTTCCCCTCTCCCTTGCCACCCCCCATCAGCCCCCAGTTTGTTCTCTGTATTTAAGAGTCTGTTATGGTTTGCTTCCCTCTGTCTCTGTAACTATTTTTCCCCTTCCCTTCCCCCATGTCTTCTGTTAAGTTTCTCAAGTTCCACATATAAGTGAAAACATGATATTTTTCTCCGACTGACATTTCACTTAGCATAATACCTTCCAGTTTCATCCACCTTATGGCAAATGGCAGGATTTCAATCTTTCTTATTTCCAAGTAGTATTTCATTGTATATATAAACCACATCTTTATCCATTCATCAGTTGGTGGATACTTAGGGTCTTTCCATAATTTGGCTATTGTTGAAAGCACTGTTATAAATATTGGGTACGTGTGCCCCTATGAATCAGCAATATTGCTTCTGTCCCATGGTCTGTTTCTTCCTCTATGAGGGAGATCTCACCTTGCCTTTCTCATGCTTCCCATCTTGTATCTGCTCAAGTCTGCCTCCCTGCTGTCTAACTCTCATGTAGCTGCTCTGAATCTGAGGTTAACCTGCCTATTGCATTATTCATTTCCATTACTATATTTTTCAGTTCTAGAACTTTCCTTTTATTCTTTTTTGGTAGCTTCTACTTCTTTGCTGGTACTACCCATCTTTCTCCCCTGAACCTATTCATCTTGGACACATTAAAGCCCCATATCTGATAACTACACTGTCTAGGTATATTTTCAGTTTTGTTTCTATTATTGAATTTTGCTCTTGATTTACCCACCAAGTCTTGTCTTTTTTATGATTGCTTTTGACTGAGTGATTGACATTCTGTGTTTTAAACATGTGGAACTAATTGAGGCTTTGCATGATTTGGAAAATATTTTACCTTGATCTGACAGCAATGCATACGATGTAACCATAGGACAGGTCTACATAAAATATAGATAGACAGTTTCAGAGATAATAGATGTCATTATCTAAAGAGTAAATCCTGAAAGTGGATATGACCAGGAGACTGGAGAGGAAGGAGAGGTCATACCAGCTTTATGAGCACGCTGGGAAGACATAGGGCAGATGCTGAGGAATGGCACCTGTGTCTAGGGCAGTTGGAGACAGAGGTGAGGTGCTCAGCCTAACAAATATGATGCTTCAGGACATTGATTTGTTGGTTTTGATTCGCTGATGCTATTCCTGGGCTGACAATGTAGCTTCCTAAGATAGGACAGGAAAGCTTATAAACAGCAGCAGTTTCTGTGGTATATGATTTTGCTTTGACAATAATATTTGGAAAGCATCACAAAAAGGAGATAACAAATGACTAGTTACATGTATTTCTGAGCCTTTGTTTCTTTGGTAATGTCTATGGATCTTTGCATTTGGAAATCAAAGAGTTAACATGGGTAAAAAGAACTAGATTCAATCTGTGAGCTCAGTTTAGGAAAAGCACAGTAGAGAATCATGAGACTAGCTGCCAGGGCCCTGGCAGGGAAATGGGGAAGGGTGCTGGTGGTGAGAGTTAACAGAGATCATCTCATTAAATTTCATGACATCAACCTTGCAGGGAACATCGTTCCCCTATTTCTCTTTCACCTCCTCCCTTTTCACTTTGAAGCTTCCCCAGAGAATTCAGTGCTGAGATTTTGGTTTAAGCCCCCATTTCAGAAGGGGTCTCACAGATATATTCCAAAGACCTCTGCTCCTTCAAACCAGTAAATCCCATAAAACATTCTGGGTTTGTGGAAATAGAGAATTTCTGAAATGCATGTCAATGTTTCTATATGGGTGGTTATATTGTAACTTTCAAGTATATTTTTACTCCCTACTGATTTTGGGACAATGAATGACTGGGCTGGATCTGGAGAGGTCTCTCTAAGACACATTGACACAGGACAAGCTGCTCCTGGTGCTGACTCACCTTGGATAATGCTGTATCATTCAAAAGTTACTAATGTGTGCTCATCAAAAGCAATGGTGGCAGGCACATTTACCCACCTTGCCAAAGACTCTTGCACAAACCATGACCTGTGAACATGAGTTGAGTGAATGGGGCCATGTTTTTAATTCTATATTCTATGAAAGCATGAACCAGAGGAAAGACATAGGTCACAAACAAAATACACTAGCTACATTTCACACATTTCTAAATATTTCAGTTCCTTAGATAACTATTTTCCAACTGTGGCCACAGTGCCAATCACCTGGAGACTGTATGTATTTCTGATTTTGGTTCACAAAGATTCTTCTTTAGTAGAGAGGGTGGGTATGGCCTGATCTCTAGGAAATTTGTAAAATTAAAGGGGTTTGTAAAATTAAGGGGTTTTCATGGATCAGAAGACACAACAGACATAGTGAGAAAGAACAGGACACTAGGCCTTCCTCAGGTGAAGCCACAATTCCTCAGAACCTGAGAACTCTCAAGCAAGGATGGGTAGTAGTGACCTATTATCTGTTGGCCACACAGACTTACCCTTGTAAGTTTGTGTATGTCCCTACCAAGGTGTGGGAGAGGTCACAAACTTTATACACAGATGTGTCAAAGAACCAAAGCTGAACCAGACCACTATTTTTGTGCTATACCCAATGGAACTGTCCAAAATTGTCTTGGAAAATTCTGTCACATCATCCCTATGACCATTTCATAAAAATAGATGGGCCAGGAAACAGGCAGACTTTCAACAAGGAGCCACTCAAATCAGAGTCCTTAGAAACCCAGGAAGAAGGAAGAAAGATGCTCAGCCCCTCCATTCTGAAGTATTCCTCCAAGCAGTATTGTTACTGCCTCTCTGTCCCAGTCATTCCCCCAGGTGCTCCCACACTCTCTTTACTCTGCCCCTCCAGGCCATCCCCATGAGTATCTCAGAAGACAGACTTACTCATCAGGTTGGGTGTCTGTAACCACAGTGGCTGTCCCAGGAGTAGTGATTGGCATTGACAGCCACGGAGGTCAGCCTGTGCTGGGAGGGGGTTACAGGCCTGAGGGAGCAGGTGAGACATAGAGACTGGAGCTATTGTGTTCTGAGATATCATCAGAGGCTTTGGAGAAGATCTAATTATGTGTCAGTGAGGCTTATGTGCAGATGCCCTGATGGGTGTCCAAGAAGGGCAAAGCCTTTTGTCAGCTTCATTCACCCACCTCCAATCCCTGTGATGAGATATGGCCCCTCTTCAGAAGGATCACCCTATTGTGAGCCTTCCCTCAGAGCTGAAATAAAGAAGATACAGGTGGATGTTCCCTCACAAAATTGTCTGCATTCCTTTTGAGTGGAATAGATGAGGGGCTGGAGAGATTGGAGAATGAGTGAATAAATGGATACATGGATAGATGGATGGATGGATGGATGGATGGATGGATGGACGGATGGATGGTTCTATTAATGGATGAATGAATGAATATACCAACCAACCAGTGGGGGCCCTGAAAGAACCACGAGGGTAGCCTCCCATGAGTTGGGGAGTCTGATTGACTCAACACTGTGCACCAACAGCCAATGTAAGAATAATAAGGATGATCAATTCTGTACTTCTTGTCACAGCAGCAACATTTATAAAATAAAAATGATTCAGGAAAGTGCAAAACTGACAGGGACCCAAAAAGTGCTCTGAGATGCTTTTAATTCTCCTGGTGCTGAACAGACCTGGGAATACATACAGACTGACTGTTGCTCTCTGGAGGAAAAGGATCTTTTGTATGAGGAGCCAGGGACCCCTTCCCAGCCTATTTCTGCACACAGGTGCTGTTCAGGAGGGAGAACTGGGAAAGCCATGGTCTGATATCCACAACAAAGGTGCAATCCACCTAAAAAAAAGTAATTATGAGATTAAAACAGTTTCACACATGGAGAACATTTAGCATGAAGGACTGAATAGGAGTTCAAGGTGCATGAAAAACTACAAAAGATGAAAAACAAAAACAAACAGTGACTTGGGGTAGGATTTGAGGAGCTTAAGATTCCACCAGAATGATGGGTAGGGGTTGCTTAATCTGCACATGTGGAACAAGGGTTCCTGAGAGGGCATGTGGTGGGACCATTACTTGCCCTTTCAGAGTCTTGTCAGTGCAGCTTATGCTGCCTTAAGCACCTGCCCCCGCCCCCCTGAGTTCTTAGGGAGCCAGCAGACTGCCCAGGAGGTGGTCCATCTAGTGCTGCCAACACTCAGCAGCAGCTGCAAACCTACCCTGAAAGGATGCTACCCCCAAGTCTGGGATGGGAGTACCGAGATAAGCACCCATCCTGGCTGAGCATCATCCTGACTGAGGCTCATGCCTGGGGTCCAAGTTTCCTGAATAAGATCAGCTCATAGATGATAACACAAGAAGGCTACTATACAGGCCAGAGGTAAGTACAGGGCTCAGCTCGCTGCCCTTCTAGGAGCAGCTCTTGTCTGCCTGGAATGACCACATCCCCCTTCAATGGGAAGCCCTGGGACCTGGGGAGAGAGGAGCCAGACTCTCATTCTGGCCCATGACCATCCTGACAATTTCCCTAAGCCTCCTCCCATCAACCCTCCTTTATGTGAATGTTCATCATATTCTCAAACCTTTTTCTCCCTCGGGCCTTCTTGTAAGGGACAGTTTTCCAGGTCTTCATCCTGTTTTGAGCAAATGGTTTGGCCCAACTCCAACTCCATTAAATATATCAAAGTAAACTGCTGTTAAGAACAAATTGTAGAAACTGCAGTGAAATACTTTGCATTAATGAGAAAAACAGAAAACCATAAGGAAAACAGGCAAAAACTGTGAATGTGCATATGTAAATGAATAAGGACATATGTATGTGTAATGACTCTTATTTTTCTAATTTTAATTGATTTTTTATTTCACCTTTTCCTCTTCATTTTCCCTTTTTTCTTATAAGAAGATGTCCATATGTACATGCACTAGAATCTTCCCTGTAGCACTCTTCCTGATGACCTGTAGCTTTTAGTCACATTCACAGCACCATGAATGCACAGGATGGAAGACTGCACAGCAAGAAGCCTGCATGGTCTGCAGCAACACTGACAGCACCACCCATCTCTCATTGGACACCTACACAGCATCAGCCGGACACAATGTGAGCACACCAGTGAGTCCTTCTCTGGACAGTAGGATAACAGGTGTGTTAGTCCACTGATCAGCCATCAGAGCTTGCCATTCCTTTTGGGACAGCATCTAGATGGGGACATAGAGGGTCCTGGGGGCTGGGAATGCTCTGCCTCTCTTCATGTGGGAACTGGCTATACAGAAAGGCTCTTCTTGCTAATGTTCATTAAGGTGGATATTTACAAAGCAGTGTTGTTCCATGTGTTTGTTAGGCTTCTATCAGGAATTATTAAAAGTTATTATTTTATTTTGTTAAATAGAAATAAATCCACAAAAGCACAAGAAGAACTCAAACAGGAGCACCTGGTTGGCTCAGTCAGTTAAGTGTCCAACTTCGGCTCAGGTCATGATCTCCCACTTCATGGGTTTGAGCCCTGTGTTGGGCTCTGTGCTGACAGTTCAGAGCCTGGAGCTTGCTTGGGATTCTGTATCTCTGTCTCACTCTCTGCCTCCCACCCCCACTTGTGCTCTCTCTCTCTCTCTCTCTCTCCCCCTGTCTCTCTCTCTCAAAAATAAACATTAAAATTTTTAAGTAAAAAAAAAAGAGAGGAAGAACTCAAACATAGAAATGTAGTCAGAATTCACCATAAGGAGAAATCTGCCTCTCAGTGGACTGATTTGGAATTGTCTAGAAAGCTGACTTCATTTGAAACTCAGTTCTTACAGCTGACACATGATACCCACTCATACCTAGACATGTACCATCAACATGACACACACCACCAACACACACACACACACACACACACACTCATGCACCACCAGCCCCACTTGCATGTTCACCAGACCCTGAGCTGGGACAGGGCACAGGGGCTGAAGCAGCAACTGTGGTCTCTATGTCCAAGGAGCTCCTGCAGCCTCCAGGTGTCCAGGGCTGGCTACTGTCTAAGGAAGAGGCGGAGGGTAAGGAAATGGGAAAGACTGAAGGAATCTGGTGGGCTGTGTGCATGGGCTGTCTAAGGAATGTGGTGAAGAGGTGAGACCCTCTCCATCAGAGCCCTGCTGGCATGGTAGGCTATCCTGGCTCAGGACAGTTCATGCAGGGACCAGAATCTGGGCATGGACAGAATGAGCTCTGGACAGCAGTATGTATTCTGTCCAAAGAAAGCACAAAATGGTAAGAATAAACAGCAGTGGGAAAGGTTTTCCCAACAGAGACTAATGACACGTTTCTATCAGACCCAACCTCTTTCCCATTTTTAAGGCTCTATAACACAAGACCTTCTTCTGCCTGGGCTGTTTCAGGAATCCTAAATTCCAGATCTATTCGTGTCTTCTCCAAACCTGCTGTGTCTTTTCAGTTGATAGAGTCACTGCACACCCATGTGTTCTGGAAAAACACCCAGGGTCCGTCCTTGAGCCTCTTTCACACCCTCATACCAGTGCACTCCACATCAACCTCCAACAGATACACAAGCCAACACTTCTTCCATTTCCCAGTGATCACTGCATCCCAGTGGCTGTGGAGCCTCTGAGAGAGCCCCTTCCATGGGTCTCCAGAACTCCAAGGATAACATCCCAAGTCTTCACCTGGGGCCCTGAAGGTGTCCCTAGTCCCACTTCCCACTGCACTCCTGCCTCTCTGCACCTCTTTCATAGCAAATCCAGTCCCTGGAATTTCAGGCCATCCCCAGGGACACTTGTTGCTTGTTCCTCTAGGGTCCTCTCCACAGCTGCCTGCCCTCCTTATCCCCACCCTCCATGTGACTGGGTCCTTCCAGGAGTACCCATCATTTAGATGCCTTCCCTGAACACTCCCCATACCTCTCACCTCCCCTCAGCCCTGGGCCCCCACACGTGCAGCTCTTGCCCCAGCTTTCCACTATTTCACTTATGAACTTGGGGGCCGTTGGCCTGACCTCACCAGCATAACAGTCCCATGAGAACACATCCCTGCCTGTCGTCTCTGCCATCTCCCACCCAGGCTTGGACCCACAGTGCTTTTTACAGGAGCCTCACAGCTCAACTGCTGTCATGCCTTTCCTTCTCAGGATTTTGTTTCCCATCTACCGCTTTTCTTAGCATTTCTTGTTTGTTTGTCCCACTCTAGCTTCTCTCAGCTGCTTTATCAGCCCCTGTTCTTCCCTCTTTCACTCCACAGCTGGATCTCTGTCTTCAGTACTTGCTTTCTGCTCACCTCTTTCCTTCTCCCCTTTGTTATTCAGGGGCCTCACTCATGAGGAAAACAAATTGGAAACCTGGAACACTTCTAATGAGAACTTGTGGTTTTTTACCAATATTTGCCAAATTAAAATGATGATACAACAGACAAAAACAGATCTGGGCATTTAGGAATGCTCTTCCCTGTGGATCCAGGACTCGCCCCTCCTAAGTGTGGTCTCTAGGTGAATATGGAGCCACAGGGAGGGAGGATACACCACTTACCTTGCGCTGGCTTCGCCGTACCCACAGTAACTTGTATGCATACTCATCTGGATAGACTTGGTTGAAATGGAACACTGCAAACTCCACACACAGGGCAAAGTGATTTGCTCTCCTACTAATGTCCACAAAGTCAGAACTACAGACATGAGACACCAGTGTAATGAGCCCCAGAAGCAAAGGTGCCTTCAGGAGCATGCTGTCTGGTGTCAGCCCTGGAGGCCAGCAGCACACAGATGGCAGGGTAACAGCTGGTGTGGGCCCACCCTCTGCAGCTCTGCATCCCACACAGCTCTACCCCAAGGAGTCCCTGGCCGTTGGCCAGTGCTCTGTCCAGCTCCTCCCCTTCACTCCCTGCCTTGTCCCTCCCATCTTTACAAACAGAAGGCAGAGCAGAAGCTCTCAATCTCCACCCCTTTGTTCCATAAGCCTTGGACACAGGGACACACAAGAAAGATGCTCTGTTTGCAGGGCTACATCCCCCTGCCCCAGCCCAGCCCAAATAGGCCCTGATGGGGGTCTTGAAGCCACCTCTCTTCCTCTCATGGCAGTGTATCCTACAACTGGCAAGTCACAGGAACACTTAGGAACACTGGTAGGCCCTGAGTCCTGGGGATTTGAGGTAAAAGCCAGGTCTACCTCTGACCATGGCTGCTGCCTATTACCCCTGGGGGCATCAGGAGGGTACAGGGAAGGGCCACCACTGGGGCTGGGGTACCATCCTTTCCATCACCTCTGGCACCTACTGACCTACTTGCCATGAGGTCTGACTGTACTTGGCAGTGGGGAGAGAGATTTCTAATGTCCTGGGATGGGTGGAGAGAATGCCCAGGACAAGGGGGGTATACTAGACCAGAGCAGGTCTCTGCTGGATGGCAGCCATGGACATGGGTCAGAAGCTGGGAAGGGCAGACCTGGCTCAGCCCCAGCCCACATGCATTTCCACACAGCTCTGAAACTTTGACATCCCATGGCTTTTGCCATGCCATTGTTGTCAGGCTTATCACAGAGGAGAGGTACTATGGTACTTGCCTGACTTCATACAAAGCAATGGGAGTGAGCAGACAGGGAAAGTACAACATGCTGCCCACATGTATGAGGACACTATGCAAGGGAAGGATTTTTCCACTTGGGCATGGAGTAAATAGACACAAACATATTGATGATGATCCCAGAAAGGGTACGGGGCCAAGGCCACAGCTGTGGGGACAGGCCATAAGTACACACTGGGGCTACTCCCAGGAAGAGATGGGAGTGTGGCCAAAATTACAGACACTCTTGTGAACACCTTCCCTTTTGCACATCAGTATATGGCTGGAGGTATGGGGATCTAAGGAAAATCATCACAAGGGCTCTAAAACCTACCTCCAAGTATGTCTGAGTCTGTTTCCTCCCCCGAGGAGCTCAGGGCCCCGACACTGGTTCTTCCTCACTACTCCTGGCAGCAGGATGACTAGAGTGGCCAGTGTAACTTTTTGAGAACTGCAGGATTTATAACAAGGCCCCTTTACATTACTAACGTGGGTTGTCACTGCCTCACTTCTAGAACTCTCTTAATGGGGTTCAGGGATTTCATGAGGCCTGTGAATGGACAGCTGTTGGATGTATTGACCCTTTCTATCAATTTATTTCTTCTTTCCTTTGACTATGCTTTTTTGTGATAACTTCCTCGCATTCTTGAGAGAGAGACTATGATCGTCAGTCATCCTAGCGTCCATCTTCAGCATGTGCCTGTCTGAACCATTGCTTTCCTTGAAGCTGAACCCCAGCATCACCATACATACTTGTCACATCATAAGTTTTAATCATTTCCTTTGATAATATACCCTAATCAAAACTGAGATTACTTCTCCAGCCCATGTGTTATTTAAAGGTGGATTACTGACTCAATAACCGTTTTGCTCCTTAATTTCAATCTTAACACCACTGCAGCCAGAGAAATTATTCCATATAATATCAATTCTTTCAAATTCGTTGAGATTTGCTTTATGGATCAGAATATGTTCAATTTGGATCAGTATTCTATTAGCTGAAGAATATATGTTGTTAGTTGGTGGTGAATGTTCTATATAATTGTTAAAATAACACCAAAATATGGTGTTTGTCAAAATAACACCAAAGGGGAGCACAGAGTAAGGCATGGTAAATCACAGTTCAGCAAGGGACCATGGGAGAAGTTGAAATAGATGACTGTCACTCACAGGTTCTGGGGGAGGCACTCAGCAAGATGAAGCGGCCACATGGGGAGGTCAAGGCACAATACAGATGGAGCCAAAAGATCTGGAGCGCATGGCTTTAGTGGGTAGAATGCTTTGGGGTTCTTAGGATAGGGCCAGATTGGTCAATTCAACTCTTAAGAGCAGGGTCCTGGTAAACCTCATAAGGGTCTTATGTAATGGCACACAAAGGGGAGGCTCTGGAGGCAGGGGAGACTGTTGCTCACAAGGGCTATACGGGAAGTCACTTCCGGTACTTCCATTTGCTTTTGACTCTAGGGCACATGCTTGTGCTTATATGAAATGTTAGTGTCACTTTTAGGAACCCTCAGTCTCCTTGGCCACACAAAGTGGATGCCAAGGCAGCAGTACTCTGGAATAGTTTAGCTAAACTCTGAACAATAATAAAAAATCAATGTATTCTTAAATTTTTGTATATATTTTCTGATTTTTACCTGGTGGGGTCTGTCAGTTATTGGATCAGGGTTTGATTGTTCTTCTAGACCTGGGTGTGGCTTTACCAATCTGGAGGCCATAAGAAGAGGTGGCCCAAGGATACAACTGTTGTAACTTTCATATTCAAGCAAAGCTGTGACCTTCAGTTCTCAAACGGCTGTTTCTAGTCCCATACTTTTTGAGAGCTACAGGAGGCCACAGTCAGAATCACAAACCTGCACTCACACCTTTGTGTCCAATAGGAAGCTCATTAGAATCATCAGTGCAAGGCTTATTTTTTTTTGTTTATTTATTTATTTATTTATTTATTTTTAAGAGAGAGAGACAGACAGACAGACAGACAGAGACAGAGAGAGAGGGAGACAAAATCCAAAGAAGTCTCCTTTGGACATCACGAAAGTTCATGTCAACACAGAGCCCAATGCAGGGCTTGAACTCATGAACCATGAGATTATAACCTGAGCCAAAGTTGGATGCTTAATCATTTGAGCCACCCAGGTGCCCCTGTGCAGGGTTTAAAATAACCCAGTGGCTGGGTCTGCTGGGAGACATGGCACTAATACAGGAACATTTGCAAAGCCCCCAGGTGCACATAAGGTGTATCTGAGCTCAAAGCACAGCATAATTGAAAAGAACAAGATTCCAGGCCTTCCCAGTGTGAAATGGGAACAAAGGTAAAGGTGTTCACCTATGAGGGGCACCTGTGAGCAGCACCAATTAGTGCTCAGAGAGGCTTTGACTGTCTTAGCCAGCACAGCCCCTGAGCAATGAATGGCTAGACCACTATGAACCTGAGTGATGTCAAGCCAAAGTCAGGTATTATGCTGGCTGTGCTGACCACACCTTGTTTGTTTATATTTGCCCCTATCATATTGTGGGGAGATGCCAGAAATTCTATACACAGGTTGGTCAAAGGACCAAACCTGACTCAGACCACCATCTTTATACTGTGCCCAGTGAAGCTGCCCAGAGTGCTTATAGCCTCATCTTGGGAATACATCAGCAAGAAAGGGACAGACTTTCAACCGCAGTTAAATTAGACCCCCTAAAAATCTAAAAGTGGGTAGGATAATCCCTAACCCCTCCATTCTGAAGGATTCCTCCAAGTGTCATTGCCACTGCCTCTCTGTCCCAGTCATGCCCCCAGGTGCTCCCACACTCTCTCCACTCTAGCCCTTCAGGGCTACTCCCCACGAGGATCCCAGAAGACATACTCATCAGGCTAGGTGTCCATCACCACATGCCTGTTCCAGGGGTAGTGATTGGTATTGGCAGCCTTTAAATCCAGTATGGGCTGTGAGGGGGGGGTACAAATATATCAGAGAATAGGTGGAACATGGTGACTGAGGTGTCATGTTCTGAACTGTCCTCAGAGGCTCTGAAGAAAACCTACTTGAAAAGCCTCAGGGGGCTCATGTTCAGATGTCCTGATTGGTGTCCATGGAGGACAAAGCCTTTAGTTAGCTTCACTCACTCACCTCCTATCCCTGTAATGAGATATGGCCCCTCTTCGGAAGGACCACCCCGTTGTGAGCCTTCCCCCAGAGCTGAAATAAAAAAGATACAGGTGGATGTTCCCTCACAAAATTGTCTGCATTCTTTGTGAGTGGAATAGATGAGAGCATGGAGAGATTGGAGAATGAATGAAAGAATGGATGGATGGATGGATGGATGGATGGATGGTTATATTAATGGATGAATGAATGAATAAATATACCAACCAACCAGTGGGGGCCCTGAAAGAACCACGAGGGTAGCCTCCCATGAGTTGGAGAGTCTGATTGACTCAACACTGTGCACCAACAGTCAATGTAAGAATAATAAGGATGATCAATTCTGTACTTCTTGTCACAGCAGCAACATTTATAAAATAAAAATGATTCAGGAAAGTGCAAAACTGACAGGGACCTAAAAAGTGCTCTGAGATGCCTTTAATTCTCCTGGTGCTGAACAGACCTGGGACTACATACAGACTGTTGCTCTCTGGAGGAAAAGGATCTTTTGTATGAGGAGCCAGGGGCCCCTTCCCAGCCTATTTCTGCACACAGGTGCTGTTCAGGAGGGAGAACTGGGAAAGACATGGTCTGGCATCCACAACAAAGGTGCAGTCTACCTGGGGAAAAAAAGTAATTATGAGATTAGAACAGAGATTAATACATGGAAAACAATGAACAGCAAAAACAAACAGTGACCTGGGGTAGGATTTGAGGAGCTCAAGACTCCACCAAAATGATGGGTAGGGGTTGCTTAATCTTCACATGTGGAACAAGGGTTCCTGAGAGGGCACGTGGTGGGACCATTACTTGTCCTTCAGGGGTCCTACCAGTGCGTGTGACATGGCCTAAACACCATCCCCCACACACACATACGTGAGTTCTGAGGGATCCAGCACACTACCCAGGAAGTGGTCCAGCTGGACACCCAATATTCAGCAGCAGCTGCAAACCTACCCTGAGGGGAAGCTACCTCTAAGGCTGAGATGCAAGACTGAGACACATCCTTCAAGCCCAGGGGAATAGAGGAGAA